ATTTCTGATAAAGTTTGAACTTGTCTTGCCTGGTTGAGTCTTGGCATGTTTGAGTAAGCACCCATTTATCCATTGGACCTGAATTCCTTGGAGGACAAGGAGCTGCTTTCCTGGAGTCTTGTGCCGTTTCTCAAATACAGATGTCCGCTAGTCTGAGATAGCGGCGCTTGAGAGCTTGGGGCTAAGCAAGGGGAAATGGATATTGGCATCAGCAGCTCAGCTGGGAGTGCCCACAGAAGGGATGTTTGGCACCAGGGCAGAAAGCCACACTGGGGACTAGGAGGGCGACACCTGTGGGCTGCTGGGAGAAGTTGAGCTTGGACAGGGGCAGTTTGAGGTAGCAAGGCAGTTCACAGGCGGTAGATACGTGTGTTCACAGAAGCAATTCCCAAATTAACGTGGGTGCTTTTTCTTCTTCTTTGCTGTCAGCAGAGATGCTGAAGAGTCAACTCAGCCTGGGCTTTTAGTCCAACCTCGTCTAAGGAAATGTTTTGGACAGGGGAAAAAAATGAGGCATGTTAGAGGTGGGAGACCCCACTGCTATTGTAGCACATAGGAGTTGGTGTCATCTGAAGCTGAGGGAAAGACAGATGTAGAAAAAGAACATTAGATTGAAGTGCTTTTTCAATCTTGGCCTTAATCATTATCCATTTCTTTCTTTCTCTTGCTGCCTTCTGTGATGCTTGGACATGCAGAGCGGCAAGGGCTTTTGGAGAATATCTTTCACAAAACCATCCCGAAGGTAGAAACGGCTCAGGTAAGAGAAGTGCCACATATTCTTTATATTTGTGTAGATTATACTTTTTAAAATAGCTCTTAGAATTTTTTAAAAATGCATTAATGTATCAAAGAGGTTAGTGTGTGGTCTCAACAGATGAAACAAATAGTCGCTTTATGGATCTGCTGAAGCCCTTGAGGAGAGAAGGCAGTTGGGTGACTCATGGGGAGGGTGGGCTGTGGGGACAAGTTCAGTTTTAGTGCATAAGTACCCTGTCATAAATCCACGTGTAAAGCTGTGTCCTTGGGGGATGTCTCAGCTGAAAAATAAGGGTGGCACTACACAAGGGTCCTGCACTGGTTTGTCGCTCCTAGGTCTTGCTGTGGAATAAAAAAAAAAAGGGGGGGGGAGTTATGATGTGCGAACTGATGTACTCAGCATATGCAGAGTGATCGGTGTTTGCCAGCCGATCCCTTCTGCGGGGATATAACTTTCTGTCTTACCTAAAATGTAAGCATGTGTTTATTCAGAAGAAACGTTTCTTGTTTAGCATACGTGCCCAACCACTAGCCTTTGTGAGCCAGCTGGATGGGTCCCTGCCTTTCTTCTTGATCTGTTCTGCTGACCTTCAAGTTGTCCTTGGTGGAATTGCGCTTGCTTTGTGAATGGAAGGACCTGGAAAAGCTGTGGTGCTACTCTCCGAGTTTTCAGCCGTGAGAAACTCCAGTGACACATTAATTATTAACAGTGCTTATTCTAAGAACAAGCCACAGTGGTGGTGGGGAGGCAAGAGTAGAAAAAGGCTGGGGTCCATTAAAACTAAGGTCAGGAGTCTGAGGCAGAGGAAGGGAAGGGTTGGACAGGCTGCAAAGAGGCTGGTCATATCTTAGGAGGAGACGTCCTAAAAGAGCAACATCCTCCATTGTGATCATTTTTGCAGTTGTTCTTGTCAGCTGGAGCCTTTTTTGTTTTTTCTTGCAATCTCTCATCCCATTCCTGACCACTTTATACTATATACCACTATATCCTTAGCTATAGCTATGGAGACGATGAAAATAGAGCTAATGTGACCATGTTGTGGCTGGATAATATTTGGCTGTGCGTCTCCTCAGAGTTGTTGCACATGAGAATAACATTGCTTATAGGTGTCTGTGCTTATAACATAGCCCCAAGCCAAGGGTGACCGTCTCCTATCCAGGACCCACTTAGTACAAGACTTAAGATCCTGTTTCAGTCCAAGTGAATTTAGCTGCTGTAGATACCAATCAAGTAGGGAAGGATGTGCATGATTATACCCCAGTCCTCATGGGAACTTGAATTATAACTAAACTGATGGCATTCCCTAGAAATGACTCTGAATGTCTGCAGAAGAGAAGCATCATTTTTTTTAAAATCATCTTTTGAAATTCTATAGCATGTAACTTAACGTGGTTCGTAGTATTTCTTTAAAGACAATCATGGTAGAGAGGTTGTTTATTTCACAGAAAAAAAAAATGAAGATAGAAAATCTGGCCCCATTTCATGTGTCCTAATTGTCTAATTATGAGGACTTTCTTTCCCTGCAGAAACTGTGTTGTTTTTGTGAGTTTCTAAACACTTCACCTCTAGCTTTGAGAAACTGGGGAGAGGTGATAACTATAGATTATATATAAGCAGGATAGGCAAGCTAGCATGTCTAAGACTTTTGATGAGGGGTGATTTATTGGCGAGGCTTTGTTTACCTCCTGTTTTAGCATGACTGCTGCTCTGCTTCCTTTGCTAGAGTTAACACGTGAGGAACTAAACATCATCACAGGTAAACAGCACTGCAAGGCACTGCAGGGTGCTTGAGGGCATACGTGGAGGAAGAAACCCGTGAAGGACACTGTTGGTTCCAACTTCTGTAGTTTTGATTCTTCTTGATGTGAAATCTGAGGACTTCATGGGTCAGAAATACTGTGCGATTGGTCTGTGTGATTCTCTGCAGTCTTCTTCTGGAGGACATTTGTCTGGGGGACCAGGGAGGTACATCGAGTGCTCTGGTTGTGTTCTGGTAGGTTGCAGCAAGGAGTGGTGATAGATTTTTTTCTTCCCTTTTATTCCCTTTTGGAACCAGCCAACTGCCTGGTGACAGGGTGTGTGCTGACAGAGAATAGTCCCTTTGGGAATGCTCACTTTGTCCTTGTTATTCTTTTCTTTTTCTCCTGATCCTTAAGATACCCCGAAGGCTTAGAAGAAAGGGAGGGTTGGACTCTGCAGCAGCACAGGCCGCTGCTCTGTCAAGGGGGCTGGAGCCAAGGTGGGCATGCAGTTCCTGCTCTCCTCCTGCCTTCCTTTGTTGCAGGCTTGTTCATGCAAACAGAAGGTCTGAGAAGGCTCCCAAAAAGAGCACTCTCCCACGTGGAGCGTTAATTCTGATGACCAGCCTGTTGTCAGAATCCCTGCCAGCTCTCACAGCTTTCTGGTACCTTCTAAAAACTTTCCATCCGCATCTGTGGAATGGGGTTAATGGAAGAGTGAGTCTCCCTTGGGACAGATGTGGATGGAAGATAGGGAAAAGCACTGAATGTTTTAAAGGAGGAATGCAGTAAGGCCACAGAGATTAAAACAAAAAAGAAGTGATCGCTGAAAGTCCCCCTAGCGCTTGGGGGAAGGAGCTTGGGACCTCCACACGAACCTCCCCTCCAGGTTAGGTGTCGGAGGCCTTTCACTGAGATACTGAATTAAGTCTCTCTATATTCATATATCAGAGTGGGAAAGATACCCAGGGCATGGGGCAGCAAAACTAAAAATAAGGGCAAGTGAAGCAGTTGGGAAGTGTCTTCTTTTCTGAGGTGGATCCAGACCCAGTGTTCCTTTGCTGAGGAAGGGAAGGGAGCTGGTGCTGGTTCTGTTTCCTTGTTCTTGTCCAGGTGGCTTCTGTTTTGCTCAGTTGGGTTATTGGAGGGGAGCTAGTGCTGCTAGCGGTGGGGCTTTCTCTGTAGGATCCATCTCTGGTTTGTCCAGAGATGGTAGAACTTGGGCCAGAGTTCCCTAGCAGATCTTGATTCAAATTTGCTGATTATTAGTAAAAATAGTGTATGTCTGTTGACTGGTAAAAACCAAGCTGCATGGTTACCCAAAACTGAAACCAAGCATTTTTTCAAGCTCAAAAGCCATCTTCACTTCTTCTCTTCATCTTTCCAGGAAATTTCAGCCATCAGTGAAAACACTGGATGTGTGAGGAGGAGAAGGAGGCTGCTTGTGACTTTCTCCAGGCTAAGCAGCAATGGGGAGCACCAGCGGGAGAAAAACCTCTCTGCTGAGGCTGCTGTGCCACGTGCTGGCACTTCCCCACAGCAGCCTCTTGTGCTTGCAGCCTCAGAGGCAGGTGTGCGAGCACGCAGGCAGGGCAGTGGCCATGCCGCACAGGAGGTTTGTCACGCTGCCAGTGACCTGCCTTGCTCTTCAAGAACCCCAGCGTGTGGCTGGGCACATGTTGGGGTGAAGGAGGTGACTTGCAAGCTGTGCCTTCTTGTGAAGCTGTGGCCACAAGGTTGCCTCGACCCTGCTCTCCGAGAGGGACTGCTCATTTGCTAAGGTCAATGGTGGGGCTACCAGAGCTCTTCTGGTGCCTAATTTGGGGTAAGCAATGGAAGTGGCGGAGAGACCAAGTCTGCCCTGTGCTCTCTAGCCCATTTATTGTGCTCTGCTGGGATGGACCCAGCAGTGTCTGCAGCCCAGCCATCTCGCTGTGCCCTGGGCCTTGTGCTGCCAATCGCAACTAGTGCTGAGCATCTCAGGTGACCTTTCTAGAAGAGCACTTGGGTAACTTGCTGCAGAGGAAGCCACAGGCAGCCACGGACTGTGAAATCACATCCCTGAGGGTGTGGGGCTGCTTCCAGGTGTCGCCAGCATAGGTACAGTGTGGATTTATCCTGAGACTTGCCATAAAATGCTTTGACCACTTGTGATGTGAGAGAAACGCAGGTCACAGTGTTACCATGGCAATGCTAAGGCAGGTGGTAGTCACTGCCTCTCGCTCCTTTGGATCTTGTCTCACGGTAGCAATTTCATCTCTTCACATTAATGGTAGGGGCCAGAATAAAACATTGCAGATCCATGAGACACAGCCTCAACATCATCTCCAGTTTGCGTGTTTTCCTGTCCTATTTTTAGCTCACAAGAGCAGCAGAAACCATTTGCCATATTTAAGTTCCCTTGGTTTTCTCAGAGCTGCTCACATCCCGAAGTCCCCTTCCCTCCTTTCCACAGGGAGCAGTGTGACCTTCCTTCCTTGGAAGTGGCAAGGTCAGAGCACGAGATGCCGCCACAGCAGTGCTGGCTTTGTCACACTTCAGAGACTCCCGCCAAGAATGTTGGGCTTGTTGCAGAAACGCTGCTCTTGGCATCTTTGACCGGCTCCTCACAAAGGCTCCGCTTGCTTGACCCTGAAGGTACTGAATGGCTAAAATGACTCTGACTTTATATATATATAGATATAGATATATATAAAATCCATTTTTATCTTCCTGCCTCATGGCTCACTGTTTTGAATAGGGTTTTCCTATTTTATTTTTTTTTACCATGCCTGTTTTCTGCCAGCAGCATCCTGGCACCCCAAGGGACACCGCCGGGAGTACATGGTGTTGCAGACTGAAACTGCACAACCAGCTGCCAAAACTCTCTTGGAAACCTCCTACTTTTTAGCAATGTGCTGGGCTCTAGCTACTGCAGCCTTCTGCTTTCATCTTTGAAGGTATTACTGGGCCTTGTGGACTGTAAAATATAAAAAATATATTCATTTACTACAAACACTGCAAGTCCATGTCCTGAAACTGACTAGTCAGGGCCAATTCTTTATTTGCTGTTGGCCAGATAAACTGAGGATAAACTCTGCTCCAGAAAGGAGGAGCAGAGAAGAGAAAACAGTTCTCAGTTCTCCTTTTCTGAAATGACATATATTTATATATTTTTAATAGGATTTATCTGGATTCCTATGTGCCGTTTTGCTTCTAATGGTGGAGCTGAGGTTTTAGATCTAAGATGCTTTAGTCATTGATTTGGCTGCTAACTATAGGTTTTATATATGGCATATATAATAGATGTATATTTAAGCTTATATCTGCAACTTTTGGCTATGTTCTGCCATGATTTCTGATCTTGTGGCATTGAAGATGGTCTGCATCAGATATGAGTTTGCCTGCGTCTCTCCATGCTGATGTGGCCTCTCAATCACCTGAGACTTATCCTTTATGTCTTCTAATAAATTTAAAAAAAAACTAGTTAAAATTTTAAATTAAAAATTCTAATAAATTTCTTCTTATTATTTCGTCTAGAAATGTTGTCACAGGGGAAGAAACTGAGAAACCTTAAGTTAAAGTTAGTTGCCTAGGTTAGATCACGTGTTGAAGTTTAAATTTAGAGTTACTGCATGCCAAATAATAGATTTTAGGTATTTGATAGTAATAAATGCATAATAATCAGAACACATTTACTGAGAGCATGAATTCTGTATCTGCCCACCTAAGGGATCATGAAGTAACCAGATTATGGCTGTCAGAGGTCATGTCTTTGGCAGTACTCACAGCCTTGTGGCTATTTTGGGCAGAAATATCACAGAGCAGATAAAGCCAGGAAGAAGGGAAATACATTCAAGGAAATAGGGGAGTAGCAGTTTTCAGGACCTGGGCTCTGGATGGACTGTTGAACTCAGCCCAGGTGGAGGAAGTAGTGGAAACTCATGGGCTAGATGTTGCTGTTAACCACTAGGTAGTAGTAGCTCAAACACGCTGGTCTCCTTCCTTCTCTGTGTCCTGCCACTATTTGATGTCTTGGCCACAACAAACCCACACACAGTGCAGATCTGGGTGAAAAATCCATTTGAGGAACCTGGTTTGTCTCCTCCAAGGTAACCCTGCAGCCAGCTGGGATGACACTGGTGCTGGTAAAATCAAACGGGAGACAAGAGCGGCTCCCAGGTCAGTGCAGCTGCGTGCCCAGAGCGGGGAGGGCACGGTGCCAGGTTGCCTAAGTCACCCTGCCCTAGGCAGGGGGGTAGTTTGATGGAGCAGCTGGTTGTGGGAGAGGTGGCAAGAGCAATGTGAACATGAAGTGAAGCAGACCAGCAGTAACCAGGCAGAGGGTGTTAGCAGCAGGCTGCTTCAGATCACTCTTAGAAGGCAACTGCAATTACTGCTGAAGTCCCCAGTTGCTGTTTCTTTTCCCTAAACATCCCTGTGGCTCAGATTTAATTCAGTGTCAATTCCTGGACCAGCTTGACATCTTTCCTCGCAGAAGCAAACTGTTAACCTAAAATGCCGTAGAGAAAGCGGTTAGTGCTTTGGCAGCACAATTCAGTTCTGTGCAAACACAGAAGATGGAATCTGTCATTTTTAAGCACACCAACATCTCAGGGCTGCTGGGTACACAATTGCACTTGCACATGCATGTGTGCACCCTCCTGTGTGTCAACAGGAGCACAGACTCGCTCCCTGAAATCAGTGTAGGCTCATTTTTCTAGAGGTCAGAGGTACTTATGATGTTTTTTTTTCCCTTTTCGTACTATATTTTTCTGTAGATGAATTCTGTATTTATTCTAACCAGCAGTCTTGAGCAAAGCTTTCTCATCTGTTTCTACATGAAGTTGCTTCTTCTGTTTATAGTTACTGAAGATGCTAAATAGTTGGATTAGAAGGAATAATTAGCCAATTGTTTATGAAAGAGTGAGCACATTGGTGTATTGGAAGTCCCTCACAGTGCTTCACCATGGAAGCTTGCATCTAAGTGCAAATCAAAACACCTTGAGTATGGGAAAAGTAAGTAAGAAGGAAGGATTATCTGCACACTCTGCACAAAATCCTTTTTTCATCAGATAGACAGCTTATATGAAATATATTCACCCAAGATCTGTAACCCTGTAGCTGTAAGATTGACTCTTACCTGGACCCTGTTATCTCCCTTTTTCACATCTAACTCTTGACTTCTGTATTTATGAATCTGAGACTGGGGTTTGGCTGTCTGCGCTTGCAATCCCCAGCAGCTTCAGACATGTTACACTTGGGGCCCTTCTCTTTCCCAGTGGTGACCCGAGGCCCTACAACCTGAAGAGAAGGTTCAGACGTCAAACTTTGCCCTCAGAGACGGGAGCTCAGGAATCCTCAGTTCTCTCTTCAGCAGGTGACCTGTTTGAAGCAGAGAAACAGCAGCGCTGTCGGCGCGTGGGGAGCGGCACAGTATCCAGTCTGCTTGCTGTGCTGCTGCAGTTGCTACTCCATAGAAATAAATCTTTCCAGGAGGAACGGGAGCAGCTGCCAGCTACTATATTGTGGTGTCTCAAGGAATATCTAGTGTCGTTGTGCCCACGCAGATTAGTAAATTTGACAAGCTGAGGTGAGCGCCTAGAACTGGTCTTTGTTTTTAACTTAAAAGCGGCTGTGCTCAGGTTGGTTAGAATGGCAAATTTTACAGTGTTGTGAGCTGAGGGGGATAAAAAGCTGGCTTGAGTTTGCACCATGATGGTGTTTCCTCTGGATGAGGATACTCTACAGCACAGGTAGTCATGGCGCTGGAGGGGGATTGAGCAGCTGGTGCGGGCAAGGAGCGCATCCTGCCGAGTGCGCAGAGAGCGCGAGGTCTCGCCGGGAGCCTGATGGACCCAACCTCTGCTCTCAGGACAGGTCAGGCTGCCACAGTCTTTTCTTCCCGTCTCCAGAGTGGCGAGGGACACGTTTATCTCTTGGCAATGCTGGAAGAAGTTGTATCTCAAACAGAAAAATGAAGTAGGAGTGGCACAATGTGCCACCACCAGGGCAGTCCAGCTCACAAACACAGCAGGAGCGGACGCCAGAAGCAGAGGCCCTTAGCAGCCTGAGCAGAGTTCAGGGTGGGCTTCAGATTCCAAAGCCATGAGTGTAGGTCCTGCGGTCAGCTTAGCACAGGAGGCCTCTTCTACAGTGGGGCATGGGGACAGCTCATGCATTGCAGGTTGTGGTGGTGGTGAGATGCAGGTTGCACACACACACTGCCTCCAGTGTCTCGAGGTGACTGTCTTCCCATCATGGCTAGCAAACATAGCCAAGCCTCTGGTTGGTGTGCAGAACAGCAGCAGAAGGGAAAACATTCAGTTTGCTTTCTGCATATAATGCTGCTGCCCATGCTGGATACCAAGGATTTTATCTTTGCCGGGGTAGTAGCCGCATGACTAGCACGTTCCCTGCTGAGCCTTTTTAAGGATCCCTAGCTGCTCTGAAGCTGAAGGGAGGTGGAAGAGGTGATTAACAGCCACTTGAGAAAGGGATTAGCAGGTGGGTGGCAGCTACCCTTGGGTTCATGCATGGAATTGCTATGGAAATGCTGCCGTTTCGTTTCCTGGCACTTTATCCACCGAGTGGGCTCCAAAGGCGCTTGCACTCAGCTTGCGCCCCTGCTACTCTGCGAAGGCGGCTGCGGTGTCTATCTCCAGGGTGGACTGCGTCTGCAGGCAGTGCCGGTGCCATGTGCATCCGTGGGGGCAGACGGAGGTGCTGCAAAGCACGTGGCCACCATGGCACAGCTCACAGCTGAGGCCTTTTGGCCTCTGCTTCATGGCAAACTAACTGGCAGAAGATGAACAAGAGACCTCTGATAGTTTGCCCTGTCCCTTCAGCTTAGAAAGCGAGAGCTCGGAGCGCAGAGAACATTTGGAGTTTGTGACTGCTCACCAGTTTCCAAGGGTGCCAGGGGAAAGCTGGGGCCGCTCCTTGTCCTGCAGTGTGGTAGCCCTCGTGTGGATGAATCTGCCGAAGCTGCGAGGGCCACTTTGCTGTGAGCGCTTGCAGGCCGCGCATCAAGAACTGCAGTTGCTCCTAATCCTTTTTTGTTGTCTCTTCGCAAGTTTAAACTATTGGGCAAATATGCAAGGAATGTCTCTCTTTTCAGTACTAATCCTGATGATTTACAAGACTTTCTGGAAATGTTCACCTAAAAAGGTTCTGCAGAGGCCCTACTGTATCTCCCTTTCTCCCTTCCCCTTTCTGCAGCAGTAGCAGAGGGTCTCCTGAAGCTGCCTGTGCCTGGGGTGCCTCAGGTTTAAGTAGTAAAAGGTGCCATCTCTTCCAGATCACCTGCTTGCAGATTCCTATGTGGGGCAGGAGGAGTCTCCCGAGATGCAGCAGGCGTCACAGAACAAACGCCGGCTCTCCGTCATCTCAGATGGCAAGTTTGAGCGGAGCTTCTCCGAGGAGCAGCCGGAGAAGATGCCAAGCGAGGGCTCCAAGCCACGAGTCTACACGATCTCCGGCGAGCGACCAATGCTGTCGGAGCACGAGAATGAGAGCGTGGAGCTGGTGGTGATGAAGGGGGCCGCCTCAGAGGAGTGCCAGCACAGCGGCGCCGGCGGCCCTCACAGCACCAGCCGGCCCTGCAAGGGCTGGCCGGGCAGCCGGCAGGGCTCCAAGGAGTGCCCCAGCTGCACCCGCCTGGCTGCCCCTGCCCAGCATTCCTTCGACCTGGAGCAGCATCAGTCCAGCGAACCCGGGTGGCACAGGAAGCGGCTGGAGAGGATGTACAGTGTTGATCGAGTGTCTGGTAAGTGCATTCTGATAAGTGAAAGGGCGCACAGGCTCTCAGCAACACGCAGGTCAAGGGCAATGCCCGTCTCTTCCCAGTGCAAAGGAATCATTGTGGGTGGCTGGAATTCAGTTTCCCCCTCCAGCACTTTGCAGCGATGTCTGCAGAAAGGGATTGATGAAGCGGGAGCTTAAAATAAGCAGAGCTCAGTTCGAGGGCAGTTTCTCCAAGTTGGCAAGTGAACCCAACATGAGCCCCCTTGTCTCTGCCTCCAGCTTGTCACGGCTGACAAACCAGGGTGGCTTTCATGGCGATTTAATGGAGCTTAGCGAGGATTAATTTGGGGCATCCCTGGAATGCCTGTGTGTGTGGCTGGAGTTGGCTTGGCAGGCCCCCTCGCATCATGCCACTTCATAGTCTTTCCATAAATACTGCCAAATAACATGATACTGGACTTCCTCCTCCACTCGCTTGCTGGATGTTTTCAGGGAATATGCCTTGTAATTGCTCAATTGCATTTAAAAAAATCCTGTTTGTTTTTTAAAAACATTGACCATTAATCAAATATATATCTCAATCTGTGTGCTTTGGATTAGAAGCCAGGCCACAGGTTCTGTACATGGCCTGCCATGTGCAATTTTCCTGACTTTTTCTGTTATTGTACATTCAGGCTTTTAGAGCAGGGTGTCTAGCGGGGTAGCTCAAGGTTTTCCCCTTTCTCCGCAACCTGGACGATCTTGGTTGTATGGAGATCAGAGCACTCATCGATACCGCTTCCAGCTGCAAGACCCATCCTGAGTTGAGAAGGTATAGCTTTTCTCCTCGAATGTTGCTATATTTATGTTAAAAGCTTTACTGAATAAATCAAAATTGTACTCTGTGCTGTGGGACCTGTGAACCAGGTTACATGATACAAAGTGTGCTTTATAATATATATATAAATGCTGCATATATATATATTCTGCTTTCATATTTGCATAGCTGCAGTTTTCATTAGGGACACTTATTGGTGTGAAATGGAGATTGTCCTTCTGAAAATATATCAGAGTAGATAGTAAATAGCATGGGACCTGCAGGTGCTCCCAGGAACATTTCACGCGTGAAACAGGGAGGCAGCTGTTGCCCTCCGCGCCTGTCTGTAGCCTCCGAGTGCTTGCATGGGTGGCAGTACTGCCTCGCAGACTGCATCCCAGCATTTGCACTGGCACCATGCGCTGAAAGTTTTCTCAGCTTGGCCTAATTTGTGCCCTCTACCCAAGTGCTATTAGTCAGAGAAAAACAGTAACTGGTGTCGGGCTGCAAGAAGTATTTCCTGGAATGTCCTTCATCCGTTGCTAGGGGAGAACATGGAGCAAAGATGAGTAGAGACAGAAGAAAGACTAATTTCTCCTGAGATTCATTTCACGATGATGTTTTTTCTGTTTGTATTTACATAATGGGTTATTGCTGCAAACCAACCTTCAGGGCACTTATGCCAGACTGGCAGAATTAGTATGGATTTTTGTGCTGGGTTTATGGTATCTAGCACCATTCCTGAGAAACACAAGCTGTTGTCTGCCATGTTGCTCCCCATATCTGATACAAACACATCCATTAGCAGACAGAGGTGCTGCGATGGTCCTGCCGCCCGGCACGTGCTGGAGAGGCTGAACATGGTGTCACAGTTTCTCCAGGCTCTCCTAGGCCTTTGGTTCCTTGGCTACTTCATCATGGTAAATGATCAAAAGAGGGAAAATGGGATGTCAGTCAGACAGATTTCCAGGCATTGTTCAGACAGCACCTCACGAGGATATTAGCAGTTGCTTATAAGCTCTCTCTTGAATCAAAAGTAGTGACTTAAAAGCTGGAAAATATATTAAGACATTGTCAGTCTTTTGAGATGTGCAGTCCCAGAAACATCTACATGGAAGCGTTGACTAAGCCCACATTCACACAACTTCTGCTTTAGCACTTCTAAGGGATCAAGACATCCAACAAATAATCCATTTATATTCCAACTTATTTTGCACTTATTCTCTCTGTGGTTTTTGGAGGAGGGTATGCAGGTGAACTTCATAATAAGGGTTCGGAATTCTAGAACATGGTTTTCATTTAAAATATATATTTCCTTAGGGTGCCCTAGTACAAGGCTTGACATAAACTGTCAGCTGACAGGAATCTTTTACAGCTTTCTCTGTGACTTCTTAGAGGCTACTCCTGTGCGTGGATTTATACAACCTTCATTTCAAAGGAAGCGTCCCCACTTGCATTTGGCATTTTTGCATCTGTAATTGTATTTTCTCTGCTTACAGGATTCTGCAGGATCAGTTTCTAGGTAGATGTGACCTATATGAAACATTTGATACAATTACTACAGATCAGATATTTTTTCTGCAGTAGGCCGACAGGGCTGGCTTTTGGCCAGGAAAAGTGAGTGAAAAATATTTGCAATTATGCTAGAAAATTAATGACTGAAATACTGTAGTTGCTAATGATCTTAAAGCTCTGATGAGCAGAACACCACCTTGCCATGTGCTGTTGAATGTGTGCCTTAACCAAAGGAGCTATGAAGCTGGAAGCAAAACATGCTGCAAATCAGCCTCAAATCCTAGGAAGATCCAGGAGAGAGAGTCCAGTGATATCCAGGGAGGTCTCACACATCCCATGTTAACATAGCTCTGATTCTCTGGCTGATAGACTTTAGCCAGAGAGTTCTCGGTAGGAGCTGTTTTTTGGTCAAATTCCTCTTTTCGTGACACCAACATTTCATAAACATAATTAGTAACTTATTTCACTGTCTGTTCTTTATCACTCAGCCACTGTTACGTGGAGATGATGGGTCTCCTATTGCACCAGAGGTGGCGAGTAACACACAGCTCGTTCAGGCAGGGCAGCTTGCAAGGGGAGCAAATAGGCATGGAGGGATCTGCAGGCTGCACAGCTGATGAGCTGTTTGGCTGTCAGAAACAGAGGGGAAAAAACGGATTATCACGAACAGGTGTGTAAGGGGTATACTGGAAAACTTGGATGTAGGGGAAAAGTGTCTCGGGCTGTAATTCCTTTTAGAGAAAGGGAGTGCTGCCACAATGGGGTCGTATTGGAAAGAAGCATTTGAATGAGATATTTCAGAGGCCGGAAAATGCTATTGATGAGAAATGTTTTTTCTGGTTTCTTTTTTTTTTTCTCTCCTCCAATTGTCCCTTTTTAGAATGATCCAGGGATTACACTAATCTCCTGTGTTTAGAAGAGAGCTTTCATTCTTCATTTAATAGCCTGATAGGTGCAACTCAGAAGGCTTAGTGCAAATTTCTAAAGCCCTTGCGGGCAGCCTGCATGCATACGAGGAGGATGAGACTCTCCGTTCAGTACAGGGTAGCCTGCAGAGGGAAAGTACCAGGAGCAATAGCCTGGGCATGTCCTGCTATGTGAATTCTTCCTCTGGCTGCTGGATTTTCAGCTGTCTCTCTCCCTCTGTCTTCCAGATGATGTCCCTATACGGACCTGGTTCCCTAAAGAGAACCTCTTCAGTTTTCAAACTGCTACTACAACTATGCAAGCGTAAGTGAAACGACTGCTCTGCCTTTGGTCACGTACCTCGGAGTCGGTCCACCCAGAGCTGTATTGCAGAGCCTGGGTCTGTTGAGTCGTGTGTTTGACACCAAGTATGGGAGCGAGCGCCTCGTCTCTGTTTCCTGCACTCGTAATTTCTCTCTCCTGCTACTTGCACTTCCTTGTTTTCCCCTTCCGCTTCTCCCCTGTTGGCCGCCCAGCTCTTCCCCAGGTCCCTTGTTTGCTCTGTGACACTGTGCCCTGGCCCTGGCTGCCTGTGGAGACCCCTTCACCGTTTGCTGCTGCTGCAATCGCAGCCTTGAGGAGCCGAATGTCCAGGCCCAGCCTGTACCTGTCGCTGGCGGGATACGAGTCTCTGTGGGGCAAGGGACAGACCTGCAGCCTCTACGCTGGTCTAGTCTCTTGAAGAGGGTGTCAGTGAGATCTCTGATGAGTGTGAGGGAGTCCAAGTTCTCCATAGCCTCTCCCCTCATGCTCTGCTCAGAATTTGGTGCCCCCAGGTCGCTGCTGTGGTGGGAAAGAAGCAGTTCCCAAGAGACTGAGTAGAGTGGGCAAAGTCTCATTTCAGGGTAGTGCTCAGCTTGTGTGGTAAAAGCTTCAATTATTTCCCACTTGTCTGTAAAGCTATGACAGATGATGAGGAAAATGAGAAGGTGTTTGGTCTTTTGAGGCCTTTTCCCAGCCCTTTTACCTCCTTCCTGTCTGTGTCTATGTTGCTCTCTGCTCCGCTGCTTTCCATTTCTCCTCTTCTACCCTGGTCTCCCTTTCATAGTTAACTTCTCTGTTGTTTCCTCTTCCCCAAGTGCTTTGCCTTCCACAGAGAGAAGCGGTTTGCTGATGTTGGGGTAACCCGGGCTGAATTGGACATGTAAGGGAAGAGGCAGAGAGGGTTGGAATGAGCACTGCTTGGCTCCGGCCAGGGTGCCGGGGCCCCTGGGCAGTCCGAGGGCAGTTTGATGCAGTCTTGCTTTTCTCTTTGCAAATTTGATTGGAAACAGGGGCTTTTGTTTTGCAGTCCTGATCTGTACAGCTATACAAGTTTGTGTTTTGATACAAACACAACTGCGTATTCTCTGGGCCCACGTGGTGCTTAATTTGTGTCCAAGCCACACTTTGACACTGACCCGGGGAGGATTTAGCTTGGTTGAGTAGGAGTTTCACCATTGAAAACTGCCTAATTTAAAAAGCCATTTTTTTTCCACTCAACAAGAACTATTTGTTTCTCTGGAGTGAGGTGTCCCTCAGGTTGCTGGCTGGGGCTGAGCACTAATGAATTCCTCTTCTTTTCCCTTTTTTCCTGCGTCTCCCGGAATCTCTAGCATCTCGTAAGTATAACCTTTTTGTTTGTTTGTTTGTTTGTTTCTGTGTCTGTTGAGGTCCTGGATAAACTCCTCTCCTCTCCTGTCTGTCCTATTCACTCATGCTTTCCTTGTGCTAGGGCTGCTCGTCAGCTGGCAAGAGATTAGGCAGCTGCACTTCGTAGGTCTACGTGGATCACGTTGCGGCCATCCTCATCTTCAGTATGAAGGCTGCAGTTGCTAGTGTGCCTCTGTGCCTCTTGGTCCTGGTGTACAGAGGTTTTATCAGTGATTTCCTAGGTCTCTTCCTCAGTAGCAGGGATTGATGGCTCCTCTTCCCCTTCTTTGGGCCATGCTGTAGCCGCTCGTGCGCTTGCTTTAGGAACAAAGGTTTCTCCAGCCACCTACTCTAGAGAGGGAGGACCTCTGGTTTGGTGACTTGTTTTGCCTGGTCCCTGACTCACCCTCAGTTCTGCGAGGCTTGGCTTTCTACCTCAGTCAGCCTAACCTCTCTGTTGTCTGGTGAGAGCTTCCTCTCTTGTCTATGTGTTTCGTGTCCTCTCCAGTTGACAGCTGTGTAGTCGGTTAATGGCTTAAAATGGTTTCCCAGGGCATTCAGGGGCTGCGCAGAAAGGAAGAGACGGAAACGAGAGAATGATTCGGCAGCTCTAATACAGAGGTAGGGCCCGTTTTCCCCCACAGCCGTAACCCTGCCTGGTGTTGCATGGGCCCTTTGGGTGATGTTAGTGACCTCGATGACATTGACCATGGTTGTCCCTGTCCGTGTTGCTGTTTGGTAGGGATGCTAGCAGCAGTGGTGGTGGAAACATGGAGGTGAATGATACTACAGTACCCGAAGTAGCTCGTCTCTGTATTGTTAGGAAACACTACTGAGTTTCTTTTGTGCTTCCACGTGTATTATACGGGGTCTGTCTCTCAGGTAGAAAAATGTATGTGTCCACCTCCTCCCTGCTGTTTGGAATTTTGTTTGAGGTTGGCTGAATACAATAGCACGTAAAGCCTGTTAGCTAGGCTGCATCTACAGATGCCCCTCAAAAAGCTGAGACCTAAACAAAGTTGACATCTATAATGACCAAAAAGTTGGGTTTTAATCCTTTTTATTGAAGAACAGAGAGGAAATAAAAGAGGATGGAGAATGATTCCTTGTGTGCTGATGTTACAGGAGGTTTCTGGTTTCCCTCTGCTGGCTTCAGAAGGCATGACACATAGCATGGTGGTCAGAGGTCTTCTGATGTCTTAACTGTGCCAAGGCTAATGTATTTTGGCAGCCAACTAAGCAGGATAACACAGCATTTGTGATTGGTGTCCTTGCTTAAAAACTGCCATGGTGACTTCAGCACTGTTCAAAACAGAGTGGGAGAAAAACAGCAGGTTTTTGGACCTGGGAAATCGCCAGAATTTTTTCCTTTTGTAATCATCTGTCTTTTTTTTCATCAAAAAAGAAGAGAAATAAGAACAAAAGCAAAAGACTCTTTAAATGAGTAGACAGTGTGGTTTTAAAAAGAGAGACATTTCCCAGAGATCAATTTCTGTTAGAAAATGACTTGTTCCCCTGGCTACCAACTGCAGGAGTAGGAGTCAGGTACATGGGTGACGCCAGCTAGGTCGGAGCAGAGACGGTCGTGTCACCCTTGCAGCCAGGCAGTGTGTCCCTTTCCCTCCTGCGGGCAATGAAGGACTGGGCACAACTGCAAAGCAGGAGCAATCTGCGTTTGCTATGTAGGAAAGAGGAGGTAGGACTGTCGTGATGACCACGTCAGCAGGAGTTTTTGGCTGTGCTAGCCGAGCAGAGCCTGGCCAGCTGGGAGGCCTACCCTGCTGCTGCATGCAGCTCTTTTTTCCGCTCTTTTCTCCAGAGGGTGAGGGGGATCCCAGTCCTTGGACACTCGGTGCCATGTGTGTGGTGCCCAGGGCGGATGTTTGGCCAGGCACAGCGCATGCTGGTGCGGCAAGTGCTGCCTCCGGTGATGCCAGCTGATTTGCTGAAGCCTGTGGCTCGTGCAGGCAGAACCTGAGGGTGATGAGGGTGCAGAAGGTGAATCATAGAATCCTTATGATTGGAAAAGACCTTCAGGATCATAGAGTCCAATCGGAGAAACATTGCTGGCAATTTCGCTGAGTTCTGACAGACTTCAGTAATTCTTTCGGTGTCCCTGGCCTTTATTTAGGTAATGAGTGAGCGGAGGCAGAGCTGTGGGCAGAGGCTACTGGGGGGAGCACAGAGTTGGGCTGCCGCCTCTCGGAGATCCCCTGCGTGGGATGGGTACCACAGAGGCAGCAGGGTTTGTGTCGATGGGCAGCGAGCCAGAGCCTGTCAGGAGGAGGGGATTGTTCAGCCAAGGGAGTGGTAGGGAGCCTTTATTACTATCTGCAGTTTAAGTTGGTGCTTGTTGGACTTTTGACAGGTGAAGAGATCTTACTAGTGATCAGATATCGCTGGGTTTGCTGGGTGCAGTTGTTGGGGCCAAACAGGGAGCCTGGGCATGTTTCTGTAGCCCCAGTGCCCACAGAGCACAAAGAATGTGTCTCCTTCCCCTAGGATATTGCATTTATTTAGGTTTAATGGAATGAGACAGGCCAGCATATTGGTCATCACACACCCCAGAGGGCTTTGCATGCAGAGCCAGTCCAGCGTATGTTTATGAAGCCTCTCGTTTTGGTTTCCTCTTTGAAGAACCGCTTGTCTCATCCACAGAAATGAATCTTCCTGTATCTAAGTAAAGCTCAAATAAAGCCCTGCAAGGGATCATTAATAACCCAAGAGTGGATGGAAGATGATCATGGAATAATATTACTTGCAGCCTCACTACACACCCCCGCTTTTCCTTCTTGGCTTGCTGAGTGTGGATTCTGAGGACTGCATGTGGCCCAAGGCCAGGAAGGAGGATGGGGCAGAAGGTGATGCAGGTGAAGTGCTCCTCTCCCAGGCATGTGTTTGGCTTGTTCTCTTTGCATCAGAGTAGAGATAACTCAACTTGCTCCAAACTCTTCAATGTCTGTGTTGGAAATGTCTTCTATTTAAGTAAATTTGCTTGTGTGTCTACACAGCTGTAATGTGTCCTTATTCATCCCAGCAGCCTGTGTGACCCAGGTGACACGTCCTCTTCCCCTGGCTGAAGTCTCTTGTTGCTTGTTGTCTGTGGTGATTGTTGGTGGGGCAGGAGGGAGTCTAGGAAGTCCTCAACTCCACGTAGGCTCCTGGGGGGTCACCAATGTCCCCACAAAAGCTGCAGTACAGGACAGAGTGACCTTAACAAAGTAGAATTCAAGGAAGAGTGGGCCATTTTTCACTAGTCCACCTGCTACTCATTCCCTCTGTCCTCTCTGCTGTCCTGTTCGGTGCCTGTCCTCTTTGGTTACTGCCTGGGTGAGTAACAAGAGCCCCTGGGAAGCGGTGGCCCGAGGGGTTGGGTAAGGAGGTGCTTGGCCTCACGTGGCCTTGTGGACTCTGCAGCCCCATCAAAACTCCACGAGCGCCGGGCAGGGAGGCACATGCTGAGGTTGCTACAGGCCGGGCACGTGGGGACATGCGACCTCGCTGACTGGTGCTTTTTGAGAGGGAAGAAGCTGCTTCGGTGTTTCCTAGCTCTTTGGCCTGGCAAGCAGCATGGTCTGCTGGCACTGGTGGGATTGTAGAGGATGCTGTGAGCGTATTTGGGGATGAGCAGCACTATAGCATGGTATGTTCATGATGCCGAGCAGGGGAGAGCCTGGTGGCCCCGCGCTTTCCGTCTGTGGAAGAAAAGAGAGAGGGGAGCAGGTACTGCGCTTACTGAGAGAAGAGAAAACGTTGCCAACAGGAGCAGCATCAGTGCGTGCAGCAGCAGTGCCTCAGGAAAGCCCAAAGCAGGCCATGAGAAAGGGGACTGCCATGTGGGACTTCACTTGCCCTCCATCACCAGCCAGGAGGTGCCTGGAAGGAAATTAGCTGCCTTCCTATTTTTTTTTTCCCAAGCTTTTTCAGTCCTGCTGGGCCGGGGTGTTGCTTTACATCACCTTTCTCAAAGGTTTTGTTTGGCTTTTCTTTCAGGAATTTTCGGAAGCATCTCCGCATGGTGGGGAGCCGAAGGGTTAAAGCACAAAGTAAGTGAGAAACTGAAATTGTGGCTGTGAGAGGTTGGGGTTCATGCCAGTGGGACAAAGGGAGTCCCATGTTGTGCCCAGACGCTGGTAGAAAGGACCCAGCAGTTGGCCCAAGAAAAGATTTACCCCATTGATCGATTTTACCTGATGAAAAGAAGGTTAGGCTGGTACAAGTCTCCAAGATGCACCCATTTCTGCAAGCGGATTTCAAGCTCTGTCCAAGGAACCTCTGCCATGGTTGTAGGAGATCTCTGGGCCTTGATGAGGTGTGGAAGGAGCGCTGCCCATCAGCATCCTCGTCCTGTGCGCGCAACTTTGCTGAGCACTGACAGAGAAGCTTGCAAGCAGAAGCAGAACTGAGAGGCCAGCAGAGCAAGCAGGGGCTGCCCGGCCTTTTACAGGAACCAAGGGCCTGCTGTGGCTGCCCAACGACAATGAGTGCTTCGAGTGCTACGTGAAACTGGGGCCGCCTTCTCTTCCCCCGTCCCAGCACCATCTCTTCTCTGCTGCAGCCCCTGTGGGGAAGGTTGCCCAGGTTGTTGAGAGGAAGGTTGAGGGGAGAAAGAAGAGGAACATGCATAGAAAAGAGAGCGGAGCAAGGGAGGGAATTAAAGGAGTGCTATGCTTCCCTGGTGGGAAAGCTCTTGACCCTAGAAAATGGCAGTCCTCTTTGAGGAAGGCTCCAGAGGTTGGTTGGGGCAGCTCCCTTATTGCTGCAGCCTGCCCAAAGTTGAGAGCAGTGTAACCAGCTCCTGAGTAATGAGGTTTATTCCAGAAGAGGAAAGAGCTTGTTCTTCCCTCCCTGGTCAGCCATCATGCAGGGACTGCCCAGAGCAAAGTGTGGCTGAGTTGGAATTGCATCCTTTTCTCTCCTTTCTCACATGCTTTGGGAAGTTGATAGCAAAGAGCAATGTCCTTTGAAGTGTCTTTATTGGCATCTGAGTTAGCACTGCCTGAAGTGAACAGGACCTACCTCCCCCAGAGCTGTCTGGACGTTCAGGCACGTCTCTCTGCTTTGGTAACTCTCGGGTCATGTTTTCAAAGCATTCTTCATGGGCATATTAGCTAAATGCCTGGCTTTAAATGAAAGCTGAGGATTGAGAACACCCGAAGAGCTTCCGATGTGGTTTGTCGCCCTGGAGAATATGCCCACATGTGGACTGCAGCAGGGGACAGGTTGCCTTTCAGCTTCTGTAACACTGATCTGCAGTGATTTCTTGTGCTGCTGACATGGCATGTCATTGCTAGATACACTACAGCAAGCTTTGTCTTGTACCAGAAATGGATATTGAACTAAGATATAGCTATACGTTGCTGTTAATCTAATGGCTGTCATGCCTACTTGCCAATTTAGGCATGATGGTTCGCAGTTCCTAGGAATTTGTCAATGGGGCAGCCAGCTGGGCCAGAAGCTCCCTGGATTCTGCTTGGAAAAAGGCATTGCAAGAAATGCATCTGTGGCAGGAAGAAAAGGAGGAGAAAAACTGCACATAATATTCCTGGCAAGCAAAATTGAAGGAATTCTTTTCCAACAAAATTCAGGAACTGTAAGCTTTCCAGTGCCCTTTCTGTTCAGTCCAGCTCTGATTAGAGTAGCACTAAGATGTGAAAAGAGTGCCCAAAAACAGATATGAAGGGAGAACTGACTGGCTGACTACTGCCTTTTTCTCATCACATATGTGTCATTGGGTATTGAGGCCTTTGAGTCAGGGCATTTATACTGAGACCCTGGAATAGCCCTGATTAAATTGAGTTGCAAGGAGAGACCATCAAGTGTCCTCCATTTTCTGTGCTCCCCACTCCACAATGGCTCTGCTTAGGAAGTGGGCACTTTGTGTGCTGCTGTCTGGAAGATAGACCCTTGTTTTGCTGTTGGAGAGGACTTGTATTTCGCAAGTGGAAGAAAAAGCATAGGAGAGTTCGTGTTGTTTGGATGGAAATCTACTGGATGTTTTGTTTTGCTGGCAGCAGCAGAGGTGGCTTTGGAGTCTGTTAATGTCATGCTTTGGTTTTATCCTAGCATTTGCCGAACGGCGTGAGAGGAGCTTCAGCAGGTCCTGGAGTGACCCGACTCCCATCAAAGCTGATTCCTTCCATGACTCTCGAGAAAGTGAGTTCTGAGTCCTTTGGGCTTCCTCCTGTGGCCAAGCACTCCAGCAGAGGTGTTGACTGGAGTCCCGCCGGAATAACTCCTCTGTGTCCTTTTTTTCCCCCCTCTGTGATCCTTTAGTTTCACAAGATCTAAGGAAATAGCACTCCAAGTATATGCACATGTTCATCTGTGTGCACCTGTGTTTACACGTAGATGCGCTTGTGCTCTAACCTCATTTTCAGTGCAGTTGCCAAAGGACACCCAGTGGTAGAGCTCTCTTATGGCTGTCTCTTCCCATCACACCTTATTTGCTTGGGATCAAGCAGCTTATCTGGAAATAGACACACACCAGGCTAGGCTACAGTCCCTGCAGTGCGGCTAAGCTGCCCAGCTTCCCATGCCACAGCCTTCTCTGCGCTCTTTCTTAGGCCATGGTAGCTCTGAGCACAGCCACAGCGCGCTGTGACATGTAGCTTTGATTTCCTGCCCATGCTTGCTGCACAGATGCTAGCTTGGGGCATTCTGACCTCTGTCTGGGCTGCTAGGAATTCCTCTGGGAATCCCCTCTGGTGCTACAATTTTCTGTGTGTGGGCACGGAGATGCTATTGTGTTAATTTGCAGGAGGAAATGCCAGCATCTTCCCACTGTCTTTTCATAAAACGAATGGCTGTTTTGCCTGTCTACCCAGATCTTTTTAAAGTCCCGTAGGGACTTTGTGGATATGAGTTTGTCCATGTTGAAATGGGTTATATCATAAATGAATTTCACTAATGGAACCTACTGACCTTTCAGGTAAGCTCAGGGTTCAGCACTCCTCGCTACAGAGGACATGGCACCAAGCTGTAGGGAGAGCTGTGTGAAAAGGCAGGTTCAAAACATGACCCGATTGTTCCTTTGCAGTTTGCTTCCTCCCCACACCCTCAGCTAACTCAGAAGCGAATGGAAAAGACATGGTTCAGACAGGTGAGATCTGTCCTCCGGGCACTGCCCAGTGACATTCGGACATCCCAAAAGGCACAAGTAGAGACATCTCAGTTGCCTTCCTCAGTCCCTGACTTCAGGGAAGCCTTCTTTCTATTTTTAACTTTTAACAGTCAGTTATATTCCTTCCAGATGTTTTTTTCCCCCCAGGAAGCATTGAAGGCCAACAGGTAAGTTCGAGAGCAAATTCAAGTATACAGTTGCATTACTGCTGTGTTTGTTGTGGCTGTCCGTGTACTCTGGAACTTCTCTGCCAGGATCAGCTTGACTAACAAGGTGCAGCTTCTTTAAAGCCATTCAGAAGATGTAGTCGGAGAAGTAATTATTGCAAGGAGACCAGCTTCGAAGTCTTGGGGCCTTTGCTTATCAACCTGGCAATGTTGAAGTGTGGAGAGCTTTTTTCCATATCACCCCCTTCGGTATTTCTGAAATGACAGGGGGATTGTTGTGAATTAGTGTTTGAAAGCTAAAACTGGTGACTGTGAGAGTGATGAAAATGTTATGTGATATGTGTTGCCAGGCTGTGTCTGTGTTCTCTGACTTGTTAACACTGTTTGTTTAGAGGTGCCAGCCTCGAAACGTGGTGTCTGTCACTCTGTAGGAAAGGAGGTCACAAGTCTCACGGCTTGTGGTACGTCTTGCAGAGTAGCTGCCAGCCAAAGAAGATGGAGTTTTGAGGGCTGCCTGTTCTGTCCTTGTAACGCACGCTGTGTTCTGGCAGGCCATAACCTTCAGGATTCTTGTGGCACTTTGGATGGTGACTTTGACTTGAACTGGGAAGCAGAAAAGGAGATTGAAGCCATGGCGTGTGATGGAGAAGACTTTATTCCACCAAAAATAATGGTGAGGGTTTCCTTCTCAGGTGTCTTTATCTGCTCAGACCCTGTCCATCTCCTCACAGCTGCTAATTTTAGGATGTTTATGTGGAAAGACAGGTTTTTGGTTACGTGTATGCAACTGCAGGTGTGCACAAGTGGCACTCAGAGATCAGCAAAGACATGACATGGTCTTCAGCATTTGTTGTCACCAGGGATAATGTACTGAAAGAAAACAAAAAGTGGAAAGACCTATAGTCCAACCCCCACAAAAGTAGAACAGTCATCAAGACTGGTTCATCATGAGTCTTGACTATCCCTGATGATGGAGGAGTGAGTCCAAAGTCCCTCAGTTCCTCTCACAGGCTGTTGTTGCTCTTCTATTTTTTTTTCCAGGGCCATATGCCACCCTTTGAGGTGCTTCCTGCTCTTTTGTCATTTCCAGGTGCTAGGCTTGCCCTAGTGCTCTCCTCTGGCACATCCCTCCTTTGGAAAAACGCAAAAGTTATCAATAAAAGCAGAGTCTTTAGCTTCCTGCTTGGTTTCTGGGCAGTGCTGTCACTCGGGCAATACTGTGTTTGAACACTTGGAGGAGTAGGGGCATGGAGACATTCTGCTTCTATACTTTCCAAAAGAGGGCTTTTTTTTTTTTCCCAGAGTCTGAGCAGAAACATGGAAATTTGAGGCCAAATTAACATCTTATGTGCAATTGTTCCGTGTAAATTTGGGGAGGATTTAAGAACCATAAAATTCCATAGTTACTTGGAGTAGAAAGGGTTGGAATCTGCGACTTAGGCTGTAAATTTCAACTAAACTGAAGGCCCAGAGGAAGTTGGTCCTGGAGCAAGTGCCTCAGCAAAGTACAGGACTGCTGGCTTCAGATGAGCCTCTCTGCCACTGCTGCTCCCTTAGCTCTTGCGGGCCTGGTGTCCTCAGCACAGCCCGGATGGCAGCCAGGAGCCTGGGAGCAGCAGTTGATGAAGCCACAGCAGAGTACAGCCCTTCAAAGAGCAACCAAGTCAAGGATATACAGTGCTGTCCCCAGCCTTGCACGGGCACATCCGTGTGAGCAAGAAACAAGGCCACTGTCACCATCTACTTATCAAGTCTTGCTTGGCTTGAAACTCGTGAGAGAAAGATGAGCCCTGGCCAGAGTGTGGTGTCAGGCCATAGAAAGGGTAGGAAACTGCTCCTCATTCTTCAGGTGAACAAAGAAGGGCTGTGGACACACCGTGCCTCTAGAGACACTTCATGCAGACTCCCCTGTGGTGGGACCAGCTGGCAATGAGGCGCCTGCCAGAGGCACACACTGAAGCCCAAGGCAGCCCAAGCTGTGCACGTGGGACCCCCAGCTTTACTGCCCATCCCGTTCTTGCGGCCGTGGTGCCCGTGTTCCCGGAGCCCTGCAGCTTGTGCTTCAGCTAGCCCTTCCACTTGGGCTCTCGTCTGATGGAGCTGGCGAAACAAAGCAGATGGGATTGCTGGGCACCTTGTATCTGCCCAGCGTGCGCCCGCTGCACACAGGGCTGGTGGCTGGAGAGACTCTGATGTCTAGGGGGTAGTTGGCAGGCCTGGGGGTGCTCTGGTGCCCCAAAAGCTCAGAGGACCTTCTGTAGGGATGTAGGCTGGATTATTTGCTGCTTTTGGTAACACCTGGGAGTGACAGAACAGGACACTGTTGTCTTGGCCTCTGTGCTTTTGACCAGCCTCTACTGCTCCCTTCTTACCCTGGTGCCCTTGTTTCTTCCAGCTCATTTCTTCCAAGGTGCCCAAAGCTGAATATGTCCCAACGATTATCCGCAGGGACGACCCTTCCATCATCCCCATTCTCTATGTAAGTAATATGGTTTCTGCTCCATCTGGACACATAGGAACTGGCTCCACACAGTGATTTATTCTGTTCCTATCTCCAACTCCTAGCAGGATGATTCTGAAACACTGATGTGATTTGGAAAAGCTGGCAGAAAAGGGCCAGGTGTTTGGGCTCAGATTTTTATTGGGACAGCTCTCAGGGGGCTCAGGTCCAGATGGAAGGGCACAGTGGAGTGAAGACTGCACTTGTGGCTGCCTGACTACAGGCACAGCCAGGTAGTGTGGGGAGGTGAACAAGGTAAAGCAGGGCAAGCCTGAACACATAGGCAGAGCTGCGTGTTGCCAAGCTCAGGACTTCTCCTTGTGCTCCTCCTATGACAATGTAGGGCCACAGGTTCTGCAGTGGGGCACGGACTGCCCTATCACAGCCTGGGACTGGTGCGTCCCAGCTAGTCACGAATTTAACCTTGATTTTTCCCACAGGCCTCCTCACCAGGAGTCCTGCCTGAGCCGTTGTCTGAAACGCCAGCAGGGAATCATGGGTCTCTCTTCCTCATAGCTTTATATTCACAAAGCTGGAAGGGGAAGGGTTGGAGTGCCCAGAGCGCTCGGTCTCAGTGTGCAGCACACCCTGCTGCTGGGCGTCAAGCTTTGTGGCCTCTCTTCCTTGAAGAGTTCTGCTATTGCCATGATGACACTGTTGGGCCCAGAGGCAGATGTGACAGGTTGTTTGTTGGCCAGCTGATGCTGATTATATCTAATGGTATTTGCATTGGACCTGTGTCTTCCTCATCAGTCTATAGGATGTATTTTCAAATCTTCAGATGGACTTGGTCTTCATGAATCATTCAGTCTTCTGAGTTGGGCTTTAGGGTGGTAATTCCTGGGGTGTGCCCAGAGGCCATTGGTTGGCCTCTGTTTCCCTGGGAATGCGACCATGTGCTGTGCTAGAGACATCTCTGGGGGTAATATGGAAGCTGGTGCAGCGATGGCTAGTCTTGATAAATGTTCTCTGTTTATTCCCAGGACCATGAACATGCCACCTTTGATGACATCCTAGGTATGTGAGTGTTGCTTCCTTTTTCTTCTTCTTTGCCTCTTCCAAACATAATGGAGCAGTATGTTCATGTCTCTCCACTGCCTAGACTTATTCTGCAAGACTTGTTTTTAGCTTCCTCCATGGCTCACCTTTCCCAACATGTGTTTTGCAGAGGAAATAGAGAAGAAACTTAACATTTATCGGAAAGGCTGCAAGATCTGGAAGATGCTAATATTTTGCCAGGTACATGATAGTTGTTAAACCCTTGGTGTTTCTCACAAATTTGTCTCTGATGGGGAAAAATAAATGGAGGAACTGATCTTTCAAAGCCAGATTCCGTTAAAGTAAGTATATGTATACAACTTCCACTTCTCATTTCCCCAGAGAGTTAGTGGTCTCTAAGATGCTGTGAAGGCAGCAAATAAAATTTGACTTAGTGAAGCCAATTCCAGGGCTTGGTTGTTTCACAGCTGCTTTCAGGGAAACTGAAACAAATATTAAAGTGGATCTCAAAGGAAGCTTTATGAGAAAGGAACAAGGATTTGTGATGTGATGTTCATAGTTTTCATATGGCTTCACTATGGCACTGACAGTGGTTGGTGCTGTGGATCAGACCCGCAGATGCCTTGGCTGGGAAGCGTGATGGAGACCAGCACATTGCTGGAGAGGGGTCAGGGTAGGAGCCTGGCCAAGCTGTGGGTGGAATAAACCCTGCTACGCCTGGTGCTGGTCTGGGGACTTCCTCTGCAAGTATCTGGTTCCTGAGGGTGGCCAGCTCTGGACTGCCCCAGCAGCAGTGCAGGGGGCCTTGAAATGAGAAGTTAGAGAGCTCTCCTAACTTGAGCTTCCTCATAGATGCCTAATACTGAAGATGAGTTTGCAGTCACTGACCCGGAGATCGCAACTCTTAATCTTCCTGAATGTTGTGCTGGATGATCTTGTTACTCTTCTAACCATCAGATTTTGGTTCTTCTGCAGCAGAAGAACCCTGCTTATCTTCCCTGCTTATCCCTGCTGTGCTCAGCTCTGGGTCTGCCCACCACGGCAAGTCCCTAACATCCTCAAATGAAACAGGCTTTCTTTGGGCTTCCCCATTACTCTCCAGCCACCACAATGACGTTTGGTTTTTGTTGTTGTTGTTGTGTGTTTGTTTTTTGTCTGTCACTGTCTTACTAGAGGGAGAGGAGTTTTAAAATAGTAAAGAACAGAGAATCCAACCTGCAGCACAGCTGTATGTGAATATTTCCTGGATGAGGGCTGGAGGAGCTGAGCTATGGAGGTTGCAGAAGCCATGCCAGCCTGGCGTGTCCCTTCTGCTCCCTTGTGGTGTTCCTGGGTATGGCTGTGGAGACCCAGAAACATTTCCAGTCTTGTCTCTTAGGGCCCGTGCAAGCCGTTTTGCATCTCTCTGTCTTTCTTGCAGGGCGGTCCTGGTCACTTATATTTGTTAAAGAACAAAGTTGCCACCTTCGCCAAAGTGGAGAAGGAGGAAGATATGATCCTGTGAGTGGCTTTGTTACACTGCAGACGTCCACAGCATTTTGCTCCTCAGTTTGCCTAATGTCTGTAGCAGATGACCCATCAGGAGAGGTGCCGGGAGCTGGGCTGGCTTCTTCTGGGGAAAAGGAAACTAATGTGGAGGGGATCTGATAGCTGCTCACAACTCCTTGAAGAGCCGTTGCAAAGATAACAGAATGAAGCTCATCCAGGGTGTGGTGCAGCTCTGGGACAGGTCACCAGAAACCTGGGCGCTCTCCATCCTTGGAGGCTGTTGAGACTTAGCTAGACTAAGGCAGGCCAAACATGATGCAGTGTGGCCGACCGTCCTGCCCTCAGCTGGAAGTCACCCTAGAGACTCCCAGAGATCCCTCCATCAGATACTTTCATGATTGTTTTTATGCTAACCCACGGATGGGGGGAATTGGTAGATTAATGTTTTTATTTGCTGTTCAGTGTCTCTCTGGCCTTTCAGCTATAGACTCTCAAGAAAGTAAAAACAAAACATTTATCTCCTAAGAAAGGCTTTGCTGGCCACCAGGATCCTTGTTCTGTGGTTCTGCTGGAGGTTTTCTTCCCGCAGCAGAAAGCAGAGCGTGCCCTGGCGCCTTTGTCACTCTGAGTGGCTGAAGGAGCATTTCTAAGCAGGTGACTAGTGGCAGAAATCCAAGCTGTTCTCCTGTAGCTGTCTGGTAACTGCTCTTCTAAAGCCAGGAGAAGTGGGATCTGTCTCAGATCTCTGCAGAGCCTGCTCAAAGTCCAGCCTGTTCCTGTAAACCGCTGGTGGGGGAGGGAGCTTTTAAGTAGTGTGGCAGCCTGTGAGCTGGAGTGGCTGAAGCAATTCTGCTTCTCTTTGCAGAGAGTTAAACTTTGCCTGCTTTGCTCTCTGCTTGCTTGTGCTGGCACAAGCTTACTCGGCCAACTGCACTTCGTTGCGGGGGAGAGCATGTGCACCAGCCTGTTCATACACAGCTTAATGTTGGCATGAGAGATGAGTATTAAAATCAGCATCTGTTCAACCGTCTTATGCTCTGCCACAAACACTCACTGAAATTCCTAGGCACATGTGCGCACACACGTGGCTTCTGAACATGCTCCAAGCACAAATGATCTGAGATCCATAATTCATGGTCCTTGAGCAAGCTGTGAACACAGAGCTGAAATTTTGCACGTTGAAAGTGGATGTTTCCGTGCAGTGTGTACATGCCTGGGAGAAGCCAGCATTGCAACAAACATCCCATAACAAACTCTGCAGAAGAACTGATGGGCTTCAGAGTCGCCCGAGATGATCTGCTGGGACCCACTGTGCAGGGAAGTGGTTATATCTCACAGAGCACCTGCTCAGCAGTGACTACATGTAAGCCAGGTGTGACTTTGGCGAGCAGCACTAGCTAACACAGAACTGCCTGTTTTGGGATTGTCTCTGCAGCTGCATAGAAGGAGAATAATCTCACCAGCAATTCTCTGCTGATTTCATGCCCTGGGAATGAACCTGTGAACTGATAACATTCCTGTTTAGAAAGGGTGAGGCTGGTAAAAATGGGAGAGAGGAAATTGAAGGGAACCGAGACACACACACGCACACACACACACACACAAAAAAAAACTTCATAAAACTGTCAATAAACCCTTCTGGTGGGCTTTGCTCCATTCTCTTCCCCTTGGAACTACCCAGCCCCTTGTTTGTTTGAATGGCTGTTCCTGCCTTGCCACTGTGTGGCTTGGACGTGCTCCTCAGGCCCTTGCTCTGCCCTTGCTCTTTCTTGTCTAAGAACCAGTCGCAGGTCTCTCCTGACCAGTGTGTGCACATATAATTGTTCTGGCATATGAGCGGATAGATTTTTAAATGATCCATTCCATTTCTTCCTGTGTCTTCTAGCTTCTGGAAGAGGTTGAGCCGGCTAATGAGTAAAGTCAATCCTGAACCAAATATCATTCACATCATGGGCTGCTATGTTCTTGGAAACCCCAATGGGGAGAAGGTAAGAGCTTCCTAGGTTGCCTCTCTGGGAATCACAGAATCCCAGAATGGTTGAGGTTGGAAGGGGCCTCCAGAGATCATCTAGTCCAACCCTGCTGCTCTAGCAGGAACACCCAGAGCACGTGGCACAGGGTCACATCCAGGCGGGTTTGGAAGATCTCCAGAGAAGGAGCCTCCACAACCTCTCTGGGCAGCCTGTTCCAGGGCTCTGGCACCCTCAGTAAAGAAGTTCTTCCTCATGTGGAGAAGAAACTTCCTGTATTTTATCTTATACCCATTACCACTTGTGCTGTCACTGGCCACCACTGGGAAGAGTTTGGCCTCATCTTCTTTACATTCTCTCCTCAGGTATTTGTACATATTGATCTTAGCTAGATCCCCCCTCAAACTTCTCCAGGCTAAACAGGCCCAGCTCACTTAGTCTTTCCTCATTGAATAGATGCTCCAGTCCCTTAATCGTCTTCATTGCTCCACACTGGCTCCACGTCCCTATTGTGCTGAGGGGCCCAGAACTGCACCCAGTACTCCAGGTGTGGCCTCCCCACAGCTGAGCAGAAGGACAGGATCCCCTCCCTCGACCTGTTAATGACTGCTCAGTAGCACCGAGTCCAGGACGAGAAGTCTAGCCCCCTCTTTCCTGCTCTGCCATTGTAAATGGATGAACAACCTATTTCCCAGAGGGCAGAGGAGGAATGGTTGGAGCAACAGGCATGCAGGAAGGAACAGGTCCTTAAAGGAGAATAGTCAGTCCAAACACTTTTTGTTTAGTGATGAGCTGCATGTTTTCAAGGGCATTTAGTGTGAGGTTTTCTAGAGGCATGGAATAAGGATGAGCAATCCTGGGTGTCTTGGAGTTCCTCACTGTTTTCAGCTGCTAACTCACAAAATGTTTTTGTTTCAGCTATTTCAGAATCTGAAAAACTTAATGAATCCTTACAGGGTTGCCTTTGAGTCTCCACTTGAACTATCAGCTCAAGGTAACTTCTCTGTACAAACAACCATGTCTTCCTAATCAGACTATTTCCCTCAGTGAGCATGTTCATTAAAAAAAAAAAAAAGTGATTTTTAGTTCCCTTGTGCCCTGCCAGGAGAAAAGTGCATACCAGAGCCTTCCTTTTGCTTGTAATCACCTTGTGGTGTTGATATGCAGAACCTAGTTTCTCCCTTGCAGTTTTTCTTTGTTTCTACTTTCAGCTGTCCCCTTTATTATGTTTGAAGCTACAGAGCCCCTTCCCAGACTCCTGGCTTTGGCAAAGTAGTCTAAATAGCACCGTGGCTTCTGGGCCAAGTGTAGGAGACTCACCATATTACCAGGGCACATGACATCCATGGGAGAGATGCATGTGGTAGGAGAACCTTGTCTGCAACCAAGTTTCTCCAAAGGATTCAAACCAGTGGTACCAAGTGGGATGAAGCTCAAAAATTCAAGGGGTTCTTCCTCTTTGATCAGGTAATTATAGGTGAAATTTAATGAGGAACATGTAGTCAGCTTGTTCTGAAGTTGCCACAGTCCTTGGTGCTTTGTTCTTTGGGAAGGTAAGAGCTAGAGCATTAGGCTCTAATCGCTGGGGATGCTTCCTTCCCTGTTCACTGCCACGCTCAGCACTGACGAGTTATTCTTAACTCCTACTCACTGTCGTAGGAAGGCAGAGGGGATGAGCGCATTTACTCTGCACAGGGCGCTCCGTGCAGATGCTGCTGAGACTGGGACCCGCCTTTATCCAGTGCCTGTGTTGATCTCTCAGCAAACCTGTTTGCACGTGTGTGCCGAGAAGGACCTTGCAGGGGAATTTCGGGTTTTGTAAACAACCTGGCAGGTGAGGGGGTGGGTTCTGCATATATGTGTTTTTAAACAGTTGATCTTCCAGGAAGTTGGACTGAACAATTTATCCCTTTCGATCAATCTGGGTCACACTAATAATATAACCTCTCTAATCCTTTGCAAAGTCATCTGAAACTAATCTTAATCAGCCCTCAAAAGTGAAAATCCCTTCCTTGAGCCCTGTGCTAGAGTCCAGGGTTGTTTGTCCCTAGTGCTTTCAGGTACATTTGTTGCCTCCAGCACCAGCCCTGCATGGCCTTGAGTCTCTAGTGCCTGCAAGGCATCCCCCCTGCTCTCATGCTTTCAAGCAGAGGTGCCAGCAGCGCAGTGCATGTGTCCAAACAAGGGTTGTGTTGGGCTTATTGCTGCAAGGAGAGAGCTCCTCAGGGCAGAGAGACCCTGTTAATTTTCCCACAATAATTTTAGTTTTGAATTTTAATTTTTTTATTTTTAACTCTTCTCACAAGCCATTACACTCCTTGGATTTGTCATTTTCCCAAATCCCTGTGCCTGCAGAGCGCGGAGGTGTCCTGCACCTGGCAGAAGGCCAGTTTAAAAGCACTCTCCAACTCAAAGGAAGGACCTTTGTTGTTGCATCCTATGCCCAAATACGCCCCTTGTGGGTTTTCAGCCCTTCTCAGGGCTCACGGGTTGCCTCGTGCAGGGTGTTCGGGCTGCTGCTGTGACCCCCTACACCTCGTCTTCGCACATGGTGTAGAGAAGTCGAAGTCTGGGGACAGACTGTGTTCAGTTCCTACCTCCAGAGACAGACTCTGCCAAGGGATATTGAGGAACCTTTCTGTGTTTGAAGATACCTAAAGAGATATTTGGGTCTCATGGGTACTTTTACGTGCCCCGGGTATTCCTAAAATGAGGCATCCAGGTGTGTTCTCCTCTGCCCATACCTGCAGGTGGACTTGCTGCTGCTGTAGCCTCTCTGCTCTCTCCCTTGTGCCCAGAGTGTAACCCCTCTGCTTCATCTCCCTTCTCCTAGGTAAGCAAATGATTGAGACTTACTTTGACTTCCGCCTTTACCGCCTCTGGAAGACCCGTCAGCACTCTAAGCTCTTGGATTATGATGACATTTTATGAGCTGGAGAAGACTTTGCCAAGAAGAAGTTGATCACCAGTGTCCAAGAAGTCATGCCTACTGCAGAGAGACTTTTTTATTGGCACAGGGAGCCCTTCAAAGCCCTAGAGGAGGCAGCAGTGCTAAAGGAAGGGAAGAAGGAGCCCTCAGAAACTTATCAAGAGGAAAGTCTCTTGAGTCAAGAGAGACTGGAGGGAAAGGGTTTGGCACCTCGCTCGCCTCGGGGCAGAGCTGTGGTGTCTCAGGAGGAGTTGAGTGACATGAGGACAGGATAGAGTTCCTTGTAGAACTGAGCTGTTTTGGGTCAGAATGGGCCAGATTTGATTCCAGGTCCTTTTAAAGACTTTTGAAGCTCAGGTTTTCTTACAAAAATATAAAATTAATTACCCATGCACTACAGTAAAGAAGTGATCAGAGCACAGAGGAAGGAGAGGTTTGTACTGATGGGACCTTCTGTGCTGGGGATCTTGGAGAGCAAGGACTGCTACACCTACTCCTGCAACCTTAGAGCAAAACAATCCAGTTCCAATGTGAATATATACTGGAATATAGAATTGACATTTAACTCTGTTTTGTATAATAGAAAATAAGTGCAATTTTTATAGAGAGAGGGATAAAAACCCTCCGGATATTTAATTAGTTAAAAATAACACACCAGTAACCAATAGATATTTTTGGTCTGCTTGAAAATATATTCAAAATGGTAATATATCTTCTGTAGACGTATTTAATCACCAGCAAACATGGTTTTAACGTAAGTTAGCAGACGCTGCATGTCTGCTGCATTGATTAAGCCAGTTTGGTTTGGTACTTTCAGAGTAGCTGTGTTGCACTGACTGTATGTGCTCCCACGAATGTGTATTTCTCCTCCAGTTACACACAACTTTGTTACTATTTTCCTGCTTGCAAAACTATATGCCTTTAGTTTTGCTGGAGTATTTTTAGGTTAGAAATACAGTTACATGGCTGAGAACTCAGTAAGGTCTGTTATGGTGTAAAAATGAAGTAGAAATGAATACCCAGGATAACGGCGTGCAGGTGCCAGTGCTTTGCTGCGTGTCAGGAGAGGGGGGCGTCTCTGGTCTGACATATGGAGTTGGGGAGTTTGTGGGACCATCCAGAACCCTCTACGTTACCGAAGCATTGGGAGGAAGCACTTTCCCAAGGATGCAGCACACGTTTGCAGCACACATTTGCGTTTTCCCTGCCAATCACTGGAATGCCAGGGGTTTCTGCATACGCCACCTCTTTTCCAATGCTACAGGGGGACCTATTTGTCAAGCTCAGCTGCCACCCTCCACATCCCTCCCTGCGCAGGGCTTTGCAAGAGCAGCTGGGGCTTGAGAACGTGGGTTTGTTGTTCATATTTGAAGGCATATTTTGGAGTAGATTAATGTTTCCTTTGCTTGAGGGAGTGTTTTGTTGTTGTTGTTCTGGGAGGTTTGGAGTCTTCAACGTGCCTGTTCAGAGCAGCAGCGTTATGTAAAGTCTGCCTATGTCACCTGGCTATTCTGGGGGTTACCGATTCTGTGGAGAAAAACGGGGAAAGATTACCTTGTTTTCCTGACTTCCTGGTGTCTAAAATCAGTTGATTGTGAAGTGAAAGAAAATACGTGTACAAATCTTTTAAATACTTACAAAAAAAGAACTACTTGTTCTGATCTGCAGAGGACTCCTTCCCTCTGTGATGTATCTGTGGTTGTAACTGTGGGGAGCTCTGTACACTTATTTTAGTTTTATTAGCTTTTGAAGAAATAATGTACATAGAGTAAGGAAGGAGAGGAATGGGTAGAGAGAGCTAGTTTTGAGTGGTTGAAATTGGCCCGTGGAACCAACAGGGTCTGAGCTGCTTCCCCCAATGCTGCTTAGGAGCCAGTCTGCACCTCCCATAGGAGCTACCCACTGTGATGGCCTCTCATCCCTGGCTGGACTCTCCTGCTGTTGACTCATGGTCATGTTTTCCAGGCTCGTAGTGAAGAGGATAGCTGACACCAGTCAGACTTCTGGAGAAGACCTTAAAAAGCCTCCACTACCAAAAAACAATGCTGATGATTAACTATTACTTAGCAGGGGAGGCATCTGCTAGCTGTACTCACGAAAGGTGGGAGCTGTAGGTGCTGCGAAAGCAAAAAAAGACACATTTTTGAGAGAAGAAAATGATGGTGGCAGGATTAAAATGCTGACACAAACCTCTCTCCCTTGCTGACCCTTTCACCTCCTGTGTTTATGCTCCTAACCAGAGAAAGACAAAGTGCTTTTCCTCTCTCCTTCCTGAAGTCAAATCCCAATTCAGTGAACTTGGTAGCATGAATGTAGCATTGTGGAACTCTTGCAAACCTGATAAAACTCTGAAAGTGCCCATTTGTGTATCCTCTTGGGTGATTTACCTGTAGAATTACTGTATATCTGTTATCCTTGAGCATTTGCAGAGCTAGGGTTGCAAAGTAGCAAGGTAGCTTGTACCACAACTTCTGTAGGAAGATGCTGGAATGAACCTAACAGGCCGTTCTGCTGGTGCAGTTGGTTTTAGTAGAATATTAATGACAAATGATGAAAATGCATTTCTCTCTTTTCCAAAGATCTGTATTCCATGTAGCTTGTGATGTTAGAATGTGAGCATATTATTTCCTTTGTAGTGTTTGTTTGACTAAAGTGATGAAGTACTCACAAACCGGTCATTGCAAAGACGACAACAAGTCCTTTGTGCAAATAGCACCATTGGAGTTGACCACTTTCGAAAAGGGACAACAGAAAAAAAGTCTTCCCCTTTTAACCTGCTGAATTTTTTTAAGTGGCTGCTGAGAAAGGGAGGGATCAGCAGAAGATAAGATGCAAACAAAAGTTGTGTTTATTTAAACTGGAGAGTAAAAATAGATGCTGAGGCTTCCTCTGTGGGTCCCGCGTCAAGGATGGCCTCTTAGGTAGGTGCTTCCCAGCACAGTCGGAGACGGCATGTCCCTGGGGATGGTTGAGTCCCTGTGCCTGAGCACCCTGGATGCGCGCAGGTGTCCACGCCACGGCCGCTGCTGGGGCATTCCTCCTCTGACACGTGGCTCTTGTGTTGCATGGGGGTTCCCAGAGAGGGTTTTTTCCTCTGGTCTGTTTGGCAAAGGGAGAAGAAAATTTGACCACCTGAGAAATGCAGAAATAAATGAGGAATTGCGATACGTCTTTCTGGGCCTCTCTTCCCGCTGCAGCTCCAGCTTCCCATTGCATCCTACCTCTCTGCACCTGAAATGAGCAATTAGCACATCAGCCCTCGCTGCGTTTTTTTTTTTTTTTAAATCCATCCCAGTAGCTCTAGCAAAACTGCTGAGTACGGGAAGCACGCGGGCCCCAGGGCTCAGAGCGCCTCGCGAGCTGTTCAGGCATGTGCCTGGCCCCAGGGACTGCTGCTCCACGCAGGAGCCCCCGCACAGGGACCCATCTTCCTCCCTCGGCCTGGAGCTGGGTGCCTCAGAGGTATGGGGACAGCGTGTCCCATGTATCTGTGCCGTCGCACTGCCGGCTGCTCCTCCTCATTTGTTCTGGCTCCCAGGGGGCCAGCCTGGCCCTGTTGGCATCTCCCTGGCTTCCGGCCCGCGCTCACTCAGCCAACAGCAGCCTCTTGTCTCGGAACGTTGTGCATTTCTGACCTGCGTCTGGAGTTCCTGTTCCCAGGGCACTGCTCTGGCATCTCCAGGCGATGTCGGGGTTAACCAGGAGGCTGGAAGTGGCCCATTGGAGTAGCCGGCGCATCCAGATGCACAATTATCTGGCCAGATGCCAGAGGTGCAGCAACAGGTTCGCTCTGCGCTCCTGGGTCAACAGTCACCGTCCAGCCCGCTGAAACCCCATTTAAAGGTGACGCAACATTAACATGATGCATTAGTCCAGGATAAGGCATGGTATTATTTAATATATATATACACACATATATATATGTATGTATATATATATATATCCTTCCAGGGCAACAGCACATGTCGCCAGGAGTGCTCATTGCAGGATGTGCTCATTAGCGTCGTCCTTCCGCGAGCAGTCAGATCACATTGCCAGGAGTGGACACAGCTTTACAGGTGCCTGCTAAACTGGACCATTTTGTGCCCTGGATTTTTGCAGCGATGTTCCCTGGAATTGGTGATGCAGCCAGGTCTTCCCTGGACTCCATCCCAGGATCCTTCCGATGGCTATTACGCAGCAATACCTTTTTTTAAAAAAAAAAAAAACTTTACGGAAACGCAAGCCAAAGGCAACTGGAAACTGTTACTGTCTTGATGACAAATCAGCCCGTTGATAACTCCATGTGCTGGAGCTGGGTGAGGAAATGGGCGGTTTAAGGGCCAGGAGCCTGATTGGGAGCGCGGCACCTCCCAGGTAATCCTGCTGGGCAGGCAGGAGAGTCAATGCTAAAATATCTGAGTTTGCTGCCTGCGCCAAAGCACCCAATATGCTATGGTGATTATGCATTAGATATCAAAGGGCAATGGCACCCAGGTGCCCTTTTGAGGAAAATAAATCTGTCCAATGTACTACAAATCAGCGCAAAAAACTCAGAGGACCGCCAGGAATAAATCTGCATTGCTCTTAGTGTGTCTTTAAAATTAATGTACCTAAGGGCAGATGAGAAGCGTTCTGGATCGCATCAGTGCAGTGACGAGGCAAGATGCACTGAGACAGTTAACTGGCTCTCAGGGCTTTCTTCCTAACCTCGGTGTCCAAAGAGATTTTGTCTTGAACTGACAGTTAATTACAGTGTTAATGGCCCTGTCAACCCATTAGTAAGTGCATCCCGTCTGTCTGCATTGCTCGGAGTTTAGGGAACGGATTCCCAGGGAGCCTCAAGCAGCTGGTGGAGCCCAAGTTTTAGTGCGGGCAATGGGGCTGCCCAGTGTAGATGGGGCTCATGACGTATGTACAGCAATAACCTGCTTGCGCCGCCGCTCCCCTGCGCCCTCGTGTCCCTGCGGTTTCCTTGGGTGTTTGCATGTGATCTTCCTCTATGGCTGTCCCCCAAAAAATAAAAAAAGGCTGTAGTGTTTTACTTGGGGAACAGATGTTACCTGGTGAAAATGGAAAAGGCAGCTGGTCGGGACAGCCCGTCCCCACTGTCGCCCCGGCCTCTGGCTCGGTAGCAGGGTCTGAGTCACAGGAACTTCAGGAGGTGGGAGGCTGGGGGGGTTGGTTTGGGTTTGGTTTTTAATGCTAAGATTCAGTTGTACCGTTAAGACCCTGCTGCAAGGTCCTGCTCAGCGCGGTGATAAGCAGCACCCGCAGCAAAAACTGAACTCCCAGGAGGATGAGAGAGGTCAATGTGCTTTTAATAGCTTTACCGTTTATGCTCAGAGTTTGGACTCCAGTTTTCATTTCCAGCTCCTTTGCTTAGCTGCGAGCTGTCAGCTTGCTATTCCAGAGCCACTAGTGAAGGCTGCTCATCTACTTTTGGAAAAGAAAGCGAAACCAGTATGGCAAATAACGGGAGAAAAAGTCATTGTGCAGACTGAAAATGAATCTGGTAGCACAGAGGACCGTTTATCTCCCTTCATGCTTTTAAACTCCAAGATATTTGAACAAACTACTTCTATCCAAATCAGAAGAGGAAAAAAAAAAAAAAAGAGGACTTGTCAAAATAATTTTAAAATATCCAGGTGTGCATGGTATTCGACTGTATGACAAATTGCGTGCAGAGGTCTAATTCTGTTGAATTCAGGTGGAGGTGGTAACATTCCCCCCCTTTCAAAATCAAGTCGTTAAAGACAGTGTAACGTGCACAGACCCCATCCCTGCTAATTGCCACAACCAGCACCAGTGCTGGGCGCGAGCGGACAGGCCCCTCTAGCTGAGCCCATCTCAGCTGGAAGCTAAAGGCAGCACCGATACAGGGAAAGCTTCAAATGTTGGCCCCGAGGGAGCCTGTCAGTGTGAGAGCTTGAGAAATGTTAGTGTGGGACAAAAACTGTCTCGAAGGTCATAAAGAGTGTTGCAAACGAGCTTTAACCTTTTTCTGCTGGGTTGGGAAGCAGCAGGCTGGCTCTTTCAAGGTCAGAAGAAAGTCATTTCAAAGCCCTCTCCCAAAGTGCAGATGCCGCTTCGGGCTGGCTCCTGGCTGCCCCAGTGCGGGACATGCCTGGCTGCGATGCAGGACAGCTCTGCCACCTCTACTGCCTCTGTCACCACGTTACATGCTGCTTTGTGTATGATAACCAGGTTTCAAATCCATGGATGTTTCTAGGTTTTAAGATGTGATTTAATAAAAACAGACATTTCTGGGAAAACAGGTTTTCTCTTTTTTTGTTGTTGTTGTTCTCTGGCCAAGTTCATAACCCTGGGAACTGCCACTTGGTGGATGTTTACTATGCTAGCAGGTGAAGGAGAGATGGGCTGGGCATTTCTGCAGTGGCAGCAGGAAGGTGGATGCAGACAGACCAGTAGCTGCACCAAGGTAGGTGCTAGGGGGCAGGACAAGCACCATGCGCCCGGGAGACACACCAGGCAGGACCAGTGAAAGGGAAGGAACGCAAAACTCCTGATCCTTTAAGCAAGGAACCCTCCGAGGGAGGCAGATCCAGGGCTGCGGATCATATGGGGCAATTCACGGTCCCAGCGGACCCTGGGCCTTGGCAAGCCCCAGGAGAGACCTACAGAGCGCTCGCCCTTGTGCCTCTTCGACGGAGGAAGGCAAGTCCTTGAGCACCAATTTACGCAGAGAGAAAGAAAGGCCTGGAAGGCCTCAAGAAAGGCCAAAGGCCTGATCATCCTCCTTGGCAAAACTGAGAGCAGCTCCAGAGCAGCCGCACTAGCCTGGAGAGTAGGTGTGCAGTAAAGCACCCAGGAGGGCGAAGGGCTTCATCCGGCTGCACTGGGACCTGCAACGCTGCTTTTGCCCTCTCCCTTCGGGGGAAGGTGACGGGGAGGTTATTGCAGCTGTTTGGAAGGTTGTTTTATAGGACAGGCGCTTTCCAAGTTGGTGCTCGGGTAGGAGTGGAGCAGCCGTGGTGGCTCCAGGGATGCCAGCTGTGTCAGCAATCCCATGGGAGCTGATGAACGAGGTATGGAAGTGTGTCCAAGAACTGTAGTTGTACTCACAGGGAAAGATGGATGAAAGTTGCAGCTGGCTCATGCTGTACCTCTTCCACCTCCACCACAGTGGTGGTCTCCATGCTACCTGCCGTGAGAGGCAAAGCCACTGAGAGCAGATGCAGCTGTATGAGAGGGTCCCCACAGCCTGCTAGACTCATGGTGCTTGCCCATGTAGGAAGGGAGCAAACTCAACTGTGTGGTGGTGATGTCTCCATGTTGCCAGCAGCTCTCCCGACTCCGGGTTAAAGGTGGAAAGAGCCCACTTGCCCACAGGCACCAATGCAGTTCAGGGAACCCTCTGCCTGTGCTAAGCTCTGTACCCTGCCTTTGAGTAAAGCACACGTGTCAGGAAGGCAGATGGCATCAAATTCCATATATGCAACTTTCCTTCTCCTGGGTCTGGCTGACTTCGTTTCTGAAGTCCAACAGGTCTGGCTTGATCTTCCAGCTGCAGTTTTGCCCTTTATCTGCCACTCTACAGGTCGCCTGTGTGTTCACCCTCTGTTAAATGCTGTAACTGAGTCCTCTCCGGACAAAAAGAGACAGAGCTAAACAGGCTGGACAACTCGGGTCTTTCAGTGCCATCACTCAAGACATTTTTAGAGCCTTTTAGCATTCACTTTGGCATCTTCCCTCCTTGGGAACATCCTTTCCCATGTGCAACTATGACAGCAGGCCCCACAAAAATCACCTTTTCTCCCTTATTGTCACCTGCACGCCTGGCTTTGGGCCAGTGTCTGGGCCGCTGTTCTTCCCAAAGCCTTCACTGAGTCACAGAGGCTGCCCAAGTGGCCAAAAATGTGGCCCTTATTCCTCATTCTGGGGCAATTCAGCACTGGCATATGATGCCGTTTTGAAAACAGGATGGCACACAGAGGTGATAATGTCCGATTTTCCTCAGGCAGCTCTGCTGGCTTCTCCTGCCTCCCCTCGTGCTGTGGCTCCTGGAGGGGTCAAGCGCAGCCCCAGTGCGGGTGTCGCGCTGCCCTGAGGGTGGTTCATGAGGCCCTGAGCTCCCATCGGGATACAGGCGGCTCTGGGTCCTGCTGGGCACCGCCCTACCCTGCCCCTTGTCGCCAGGGCCCTGGGGCTGCGCTGACCCAACACTCCCCGCCCACTGCATGGCTCTCATGGAGCCATGTGGCACCGACGTGGTCATGGGCCACGCTGGCCCCATGTCTGCGTCAGGCTGAGCCGTGCAGCCTCCCAGTAAACGGTGCACGGATGTGGTTTCGGGGCTAGCCGTGGGCGTAGCTCCGGTGAGCCAGAGGGTTGGGTGCTACACCTGGGCTTGCTGGCCAAGTTTCACTTTCCAGTCCTTGCTGCTGCTTTTCTGATGGCCTAAGACGGACTCAGCTTGCAGCAAAGGTGAATAACAACTAGATTCAGGGAAGCCGGAGGATGACAAGTCCAATGCCTGCAAAGGGAGGGTTTTTTTGCACCAGGTGTGGGTAAACAGTAGGATTTATTGTTCATCCCCACGGCTCGAAAGCCAACTAGTGATCCTGCAGGCGCAAATCCATGCAGATCTCCCCAGTACAAAAGCACATTGTGGGCCCCGCGAGTGCCTGCGTCATGAGTCACCAGGGCTGGGGAAATGGCAGCTGCTGCTTGCCCAGGCCTCATTCCCCACCCGCAGCCTCAGTGAGGGATGTGACACTGGACTGTGAACTGTGCTCTCAGCCGGCACAAGGAAGGGGACCATATGTGACAAGAGCTGAGTTTTCATGAGTGCAGGGAGACCCTGGAGCGAAGGTGGTGGAGCAGTTCGGTTCACTGGCACGCAGCTGCGTCCGGGCTGCTCCCACGGCATGTCCTGGCCAAAGGTTACCTGTGTAACCGCAAGCCAGCAGCACCATGCTGAGCGCCTGGCACAGAGAGGGACTCGGCAGCACAAACAGCCTTATCTGTTGATGCACAGGAAAGTCCTGAGCTCTCAATTGCTTCCTGGCTGTGCTGGCAGCCCAACGAAAGCTGGTGGCAACTGATAACAGGTCAGGCCTGGAAACAAAGCACGAGCGATGCTCCTCGCTGCTCTGGCGTGTGCTGCGCAGGGAAGGCGACATGAAAAACGTTTTCCTGTGTTCCTGTTTGTACCAAACTGGTGTCCGGCAGCGCTGGGCTAGGTCAGGCCCAGGCTCGCTTCGTCGGCGGCGCCCGCGGCGGCGCCCACTGCAGCCCCTCGGAACCACGGCCCGCCT